CTTACCCTTGACCCAACTCAGCATCCCAACATGGACTACGCGTTTGGCAGCAGCGGCAGTCTTTCAGACAAGCTTTTTACCGGATGTTTGGGAAATCACGCAGTCGTACGTTTGAGTCTGTGTAGAACTAGCTTAGCAGAAAGTCGGCAACAACAACAGGGTTATGAACCGAAGACTGAGCTTCTCGCGGTTTTTGTATGGCTTGTGATCCGCTGCCTTCCTTTTCTGGTCAACAGTTCTTCCTCTTCATTGGCGGCCCGCCTCCCTTGACCTACATATGCTCTTTTCCTTGTATTTTGCCTGCTTGCTTGCACCTCTACTAGAGATACCATTTCCCACACATAAATGTTCGCAAGGAGCGCATCCTCATGTTCTAGAGCTGCTTGGGAGAAGGCTACATCAGTGTTGCCGTCCCTAGTCCCTATTGGGCACGACTGTCGATTAACGTGCACGACTTCAACCGAGTCCTGCTCATTTGCCATTAAAATGACATGGTTACGGCGAAAACACGAATGGTATCCCACCTTGTCCCAAGTGACGACAGCACGAGGTCCGACAGATGTTAGACTTTTCAGGTTTTTCGTCAAGGACATCCCTCAAATCAAGTCCGATTAGTAGGCATCCAGAACATAATCCAGTCAATTGAAAGTAACCTATGGCGACCTGTCAACGCGTTTTTGCAAACATTTTACAACACAAAAGCAACAATAATTTATTGACCGTAGAAAATGATATCAACAAAACAAGAGAACAACGCATTCAAATAAATATGCTACTATAAAAAAGCCATGGATAACTTTAAATAACACACGTAATAGAAATCAAGCTATAAATCCCGAATCCGATTTCAAAACAGAGAAATCTGCTGCAACTTTTTTCGGAAATAAACAAAAAACTATAAACTTTCTTGGTCCAAATCCCCTTCGGCAGTTTCAGTATTACTCGGCCTTACTCCTGAAAACATCCTCCGTTTCACTGCTGTTAGTTACCACTTCCTTTGAACTTCCTGAACTCACTTTCTTTTATCGGCTATCGCCCTTAAGACACGGTTACCAGCTAAGTAGGTCAAGCCACCAACGACGGCTAAATACTTCACTGTCTCAAACATGTTGAGCTGAAGCCAGAACACGAAGTACAAGGCGAACAGGGCTAAAATGCAGAGAAAATTATTCACGATCCACGTAAAAACAAACTATACAAAACTTGTTGAACAGAGCTACTTCACAACTCACCAGCCAAACTTCCGTGGAAGATCAGCGTCCACAAACTGACCGGCATATTGCCAAAATTGAGCCCAATACGGAACCACTGAAACGAAGACATTCACTAGGAAGCATTGAGTATATTGACTAGAAGGATTCTTACCAGTACAAACAGCAGCAACAATGGAGCCAAACAGATCAGCAGTTGCCACAGAAAAAGAACCGTCTTAATTCTGGTCGGAAAGCCATGAGCTGTAACATTAGGCTGTCAACCAGAAAAAGGAAGAAAGCGAACCACAAGCCATACAAAAACCGGTGAGAAGCTCAGTCTTCGGTTCATAACCCTGTTGTTGTTGCCGACTTTCTGCTAAGCTAGTTCTACACAGACTCAAACGTACGACTGCGTGATTTCCCAAACATCCGGTAAAAAGCTTGTCTGAAAGACTGCCGCTGCTGCCAAACGCGTAGTCCATGTTGGGATGCTGAGTTGGGTCAAGGGTAAGACCCGGCTAGAGTGTCCATTCTTTGCTAATTATTTGATGCCAGTCCCCCGCCCTAAGAGATGAAGGAAAATATAGCGCGGAGCAAAATGCATTCTTTCAACATCTTTTGAATCACGCATTAGTCCATGTCGGAGAAAAAGGTGCGTTTCGTGGCGACTGCGCATTCCCATATCAAACCTCGTCACACAGCACGTCTCCTCCTCTTTCTTTCTGGGATCCTCGCAACCATTTCCGCCCTTCCGCACTACGCCCCTCCTTGCTTGCAGATACGGACAGCATAAAGACGAACATGAACACGCGCAACGAAAATAAAGTAATTATCAAAAGAAATTAGCGAAAGTATCAAATGTACCTGCTCTTGAGCCGAATGCCCTTAGCTTAAACAACCCAAGCTATTGCCACAGTTGTTTAGGCACTAAAAGAGTTGAAGAGGTTACGCGAACACCCTCCTTCACTTTCATGTGCACCCACCTCCATCAATATCATTTTCTGATCACGATAGGGTATCTTATTGTAGTCGGAAAGTTTGTGACTGTTGGAAGATCCATAGCGTGCAGAATGAAACGAGCAAGTGGAACAGCTATGTATATCCACTTGTACCTCTCACGCTTCGGCAACTCCTTCTCCCTGAGTTGATATCATTCCACAAGGACAAACGTCACCAGTTATGGGAAATATGCCACTTACACAATCTAAAGCGTACGTCTCTTTGAAGAATTCGCTCACTAGTAATTTTGATTGAAATTTTCCCAGAGCACCAAGGCTTTACTCATATGCTCCTGATAAAATGCCGGATACGCCCGGCTTCTACACCATCGCTGTGAAAATTCAATCTCAGGTAACCCTAAAATGGTTTTACTCTGTACAATAGGCGCATGATTGGCAGTATCTGTTTAGGATAAGCGTCTCATTGGTTTGACTGGTTCGAGCGTACTTGTAAAACTGCCCAATGAGGTCACAGTCGAAGATCTAAAACTAGTAGCACTCGAGAAAGGGACGGACGTCCGTCAGCGCGTAATCTCGCATAGGGTGGGTTTCGCTTTAACATTACTTTTAATAAATGGTTACATACTTCCCTTGAATTTCTTCTTTTCATCTTCATTTCTGATGCAATTCTCGATTTTTGCTTTGATTTTCGTATTTTTTTTGACACTGACACACTTGTGAGCCACCGGTAGTGGTTTGGGGAGAACAAAGCGCTCATTGCTACCATTACCACCTCTAACTTGGCTCCTCTTTCTAACAGAATTTCTCACTACTGATGCTTCTGATGTAAACGCGAACTGATTTTTTCACGTCCTTTTATTGGCTCCCAAGGAGCGCATGTTTTTTTTGTCTTTCGGATCTTCATTTCATTTAGCTAATTCATTACTCCTTTTTGTAACTTAGAGTAGTTTCTCACTTTTTCATCGTATTGCAGTGTTCTCTATGGTCTCAAAAAGCAATGAGAAAAGTTAATTACGGCGACATACGAAACGACTGTACATTTCCTTCTCTGTGAAAAGTAAAGTGTCAGGAAATCTCGTCCAACCTCATCAGGTATGTCATTTTGCAAACCTTCCTTCTTTTAGGTCACGATGGTTGGTAGCGGTTGCTGGCAGCAGCCGCCCGTCTAGCAATCGCGCTTCTGACGTTAAAGATGTAGTGTCCAGTCTTTCAGACATTCGTCTGTTCAAACGGTGCCGACGATCTTTACACGGTATGCTTGACAAAGAGATCGTAATTTGCGCGCTGCTGGGCGCTCGCGTGCAGTCCCGCCCGCAAAGGACGATGGTTTCAGGCAGTAGATGGCGACAACATGCAATTAAGGACCGAAAACAGTAATGAGTGTCTACGATGACGGGTCTACATGAAGTCCGGTGCTCCATTCGACAGGTTAAAACGAGTTATGAAAACGCCGCGCCCATCGCCGCGCGTGGCGGTGCGGCGAATTACGATCCTCTTTACCGTCTCCCCTTTTACACAGCTGACGTACAAACTGGCGGCAAATACCTTGTTGTAAATAGTCAGTTTTTTTTCCTTTTTTCGCTCCATCCTTCTTTCTCTTCTTACTTTCCTCTTTTTTCGAGTAATGAGTAAAGCACTACTGCTAATGAGGAGGAAAGGGAGGTTACAAAAAAAATTGAGCTGTCTCTACACCAGAA